TAATATTTTTATGTAAGAGGAGTTATACAATAATATTAAAATAAAATATAAATATATTGATTTGAAAGCAGAAAATAAAATAAATATAAAAAAGATATACTGAGAAAAACTAAGCGCGTATACCAAAGAAAATTGTGAATACTTTTTTTTTTATTAAAACATAATGTATGACATATGTAAAAAAAAAAATAAAAACACTAAGTAAAATGTTATTAAAGTGATTAGCTAGAATCTATTTAATATTATTTTCTTTAAAGATTATATTAGCCAGAAAATATGATATATTACAAGTCTGAATTTTGATTAAAAACTATTCTGAATTAAAACGCGATGCCATAACTGATTCATTAAATCTTTTAGATGATATATGATGAATGAATTTAACCGTTTTGTTTTTGCACATTTTAATAGAAAAGATGGTTTGTATATTGTATATATGTGAATAAAGCACTTGATTCATATATATATATATATATATATATATATATATATATATATATATATATATATATGTGTGTGTGTGTGTGTGTGTGTGTGTGTGTGTGTGTGTGTGTGTGTGTATAATATATTACTGTCTGGCAATAACAAATTGATGAAACCATGTAGCAGTGAAGTTATTTACTCACAAAAATATATATATATATATATATATATATATATATATATATATATATATATAGTTTTAAATAAATTTTATTTTTAAAAATATATGTATTCATCGCGACAGAAATTGCCATGTTTCGAACGAAAACCTAAATATTAAATTAAACTTCAAACTTGAAGTTCAGTTCCATTTTCATGCGATGCTGATATCTACTTCAAAATGGATTTGAACTTCAAATTTAAAGTTTAATTTAAAATTTGTGATTTGGTTTCTAAACATGGTAATTTCTGTGTCGCGATGATTACATTTTTTTTAAATAATTATAAGCTCTACTGTGTAACGAGCAATGTTTTTATAAATGAATGATAAAGAACTCTGGATTATAAATCTAACTCTACTTTCTTTCTTTTATTTTGATATATATATATATCAGATATAACATTTATGAGAAAACCAACCACCTTACTACCGCGGTTTCACTAATTCGGTATTGTTATGCTGTAATATATTATATTTTTTACTTAGTTTATTCCTTTTAAATTTAGCCAATCCCGGTTGAAGACGCTTGCTCAGGCACATTTTTGTATTTTCAGCATCCATATAACTAATCAGTTGTTTATACAGGAACTATGCTGAGCGGACATTAGTCACGTTTCCTTGAAGAGAGCATTCAAACCATCGGTCACGACGACTAGCGAGTATAAGTATCGACGGCTTGCGAATAGTCATTGATAAGGCTTGGATATCGCTTCCATTTTTTTTTTTCGTTCCAATAGTGCCGCAAGCTGAGATCGCCTCCTCTAGGCCGATATCATCAAGAATCCTGAAACTGATCCGGGTGAGATTCGAAACCGGTTCCCCTGGTCAAAAAGCGAACGTTGTAACCACTAATATGATTGCCTGAAACTCCATGTGTCTGTGTGTGTGTCTGAGTGTGCTGTAAATGCAAGCGTCGCTTTCCATTCTCCAAAACCACTTAGATAGAAAAGAAGCGTTAATCCAACCGTTAAAATATATTTTCCGTTACAGTTCGTTTGCTTTTGTACGGCAAGGCGTCATATTGAGTGCTTTTCAAAATCATTTTAATTGGGATAATAATAACCAGTGCGATATTAATAGCGTTTATAATGAAGTGAATAAGAATATTCTTTATTATTATTCTCATCATTTGCCGGATTAATTACGTTTTTAATTAATAATTGCAGGAACAACAGCGATAGCAATAAAAAAAAAATAAGACGAGAAGTAAATTAGAAAATTGATTATAAAATAATTTATACTGAGGATTTTAATTAGCGCTAAAAGTTTGACGATGATAGAAATATCAGGTGGGCGAAAAGAAAGATTTCGTGCATCACTAAGAGACGACACGCTGTGTTTAAGCGAAGTCAACACACATATTTAATACAGAAAATTGATAATGGAAATATAATAATAATAATAATAATAATAATAATAATGACGATGAACGTCATGATGTGTGTATCTAGTAGAATGGCAACAATGATAACTATAATGGGCTTCGTACATATGTTTATATTGTTGGCGTATTTGTTTCACACAATAATAATAATAATTCCAGTAGTAGTTGGAGCCCAGGAATGATTGGAAAAGGTTCTGGTAAACTCACTGGAAGGATTCCTGTTAGCCCAAGCCTTACAGAAATACAAAACATTGCAATCACAAGTACAGATCGTATCTTACGGAGGGTTTTATCTATGTAAAATCTGTGTGATCTTAGTTTGTATTTACTTTTTCGTTTTTTTTTAATGCTCCGTGGAAAATGTCATGATGTCATATCTGACCGTAGGTCTCTGGTTGGGCACCGAAAAGAAATGAGTATACACCAGAAATCAAAAGAAATAATAATAATAATAATAATAATAATAAAATGTGTAAGCAAACACTGGTATGAACATCGGCCAGCGCCGGTTACAGAAATAGAAGATGTCACCATTCTATGGGATTATACCATCCACACAGACAGAAAAATTGAAGCAAATAGGCCGGACATTATTGTCAAAAACCAGAAAGAAAAAACTTGCCTACTAATTGATATGGCTTGTCCAGCGGATTGTAACATAGCAACCAAGGAATTTGAAAAACTATCAAAATACAAAGACCTGGAAATTGAAATAGAAAAAATGTGGAAATTGAAAACAAGAATAATACCAGTGGTAATAGGTGTTACTTGGAATTATAAAAATGGAACAAAACAACACATTGAAAGAATCCCTGGAAACCCCAGCTTAAGAGACATACAGAAAATTGTCTTATTAAGTACAGCACACACACTAAGGGAGAACTTTGTCTATGTAACGCTAGCAACTTCATCGGAGATAAAAAAAAAAAAAAAAAAAAAAAAAAAAATTAACATGAAATGTGGCCATAACAACACACCACGACCTGCCTTAGGTCTTTCCGCAGACTTGGTAGGTAGTGTGTCCATAGCAGAAATCGAATGATGATGATGATAATAGTAATAATAATAATAGTTGTATTCTTGTTGAACAGGACCAATGCTTGCTCACTAGAAATTACCAAGCAAGCATACTGAAAAAGTATGTTAACCCGAAATGCAGATTCTATGATAAATTTCCAAAAATAATCGGCCATCTTGTATCAGGTTGCACGGTGTTTTAGCACCCACTGAATATAAATCGCAGCATGATAGATTGCACCAATATCTGCACAGGAAAATATGTAAAATTTACGGGAAGGAAACTGCAAAAAGAAAAAAATGGTATGAACATCGCCCAGACCCGGTTAAAAGATAGGACCGGCAACAATTTTATGGGACTTTACAATACACACAGACAAATCAATCAAAGCTAATCGTCCAGACATCGTGTTCAAAAACAGAATGTACTTTTTTTTATTGACATGGCAGTTCTTGTAGTCAGTAATATAACTTTGAGATCTTTAAAAAAATACAAGGATCTTGAAGTGTAAATCTCAAAAATGTTTCATATGAGAACATCATTAATTCCAATTGTAGTTCGAGCCCTCGGATTGATTGGAAAATGTACCGATAAACTCATGCAAGGGATTCTATTGCTCCATGCCTTGAAGAAATATAAAAACTGTACACACAAATACAGCTCACACTTGACGAATGGCTTTATGTATGAAAATGTGTGAGATCTTAGGTTCAAAAAAGTTTAATGAAAATGTCATGATGATATTTCTGATCTTAGGTCTCTGGTTGGGACCCAGGAGAAAATGTGTATACACCACAAATTACAAGGACCTTGAAATAGAAATCTCGAAAATGTGGCATATGGGAACATCAACAATCCCTGTTGTAGTTGGAGCCCTAGGACTGGTTGAAAAAGATTGCAGTAGACTAATTGAAGGGATTCCTGGAAGTCCATGCCTCAAGGAGATACAAAAAATTGTTCTGACAAGTACAGCCCACACCTTACGAAGGGCTTTAACTATGTAATTTAATTTTTTTTTTTTTTGTCAGTGGAAAGTGTCATGACGCCATTTCTAACCTTAGGTCCCTTGGCGGGACCCGGAAAGAAATGGATAAACGCCAGAAATCAAAGAAAATAAAAATAATAATAACAATAATAATAATAATAATAAATTTTTAAAAATTCTCGAAGTACAAAGACCTGGAAATCGAAATAGAAGAAAATGTGGAAACTGAAAACAAGGATAGTACCAATCATAGTAGGTGCGCTTGGAATGATAAAAAAGGAACACAACAACACACTGAAAAATCGCAGGAAATCCCAGCTTAAGAGAAATGCAGCAAATTTTCATAAGTCCAGCAAACACACTAAAAACTTTGTCTATGTAACACTAGTGATTTTATGGGATTTAGAAAATAAATCATGAAATGTAGCCATAACAACACACCACTACCTGCCTTAGGTCTTCCTTCAGACTTGGTAGGTAGAGTGACCATAGAAGAAATCGAAATATAATAATAATAATAATAATGATAATAATAATAATGATGATGATGAAATAAATAAGTACCAGGTTGTCCAATCTAGACGCTTAATGAATACAGAGATCGACATGAAAAACTCGTCAGTTGAAATTCCTTGGACACATAATAAGGAAGACGACTTGGAAAGCTTAACACACACAGTGAATAGTGAGGGTAAGAGACACAGGGGAAGGTAGGGAGTCTTACGTGTTTGTGTTAATAGATGGCAAAAGGAGGGGCAGGAACCATAACCAAAGGTGAAAACTGCTTAGGGCCAAAAGGGATAGGAAGATTTGTAGCGCCATTATCGCCCATGTACTGAAGAGAAGTGGCACATAGAAGAAGATATGTCAACATTACGGAGGGCCAAACAATACCAAATGTTAGGAAATATATCCTCGGACAGAGTCAACGAAAGTCATGCTGGGTCCAAAAAGTTGTTTTTATTTGTAGGTCAGTCTATTCATATCTATCTGATTTTCTTTTCTTATCTATGTCCGTCTCTTTCTTTCTTTCTTTCTATCTATCTATCTATCTATCTATCTATCAGATTTTCTTTTCTCATCTATGTCCGTCTTTTTATATCTATCTGTCGATCTATCTACCTGATTTCTTTTCGTAACTAATTCCGTCTTTTATATATATATATCAGTCAGTCTATTTATCAGATCTTCTTTGTTCATCTCTGTCTGTCTATCTATCTATCTATCTATCTGATTTTCTTTTCGTAAGTATTTCCGTATTTTTATATCTATCTATCTATCTATCTACCAGTTTTTCTTTTCTCATTTCTAACCGTTTTTATGTGTACCTTTCTACCCATAAAATGTTCTTTTCTCCTCTATGTTATTGCTATCTATCTATCTATCTATCTATCTATCTATCTATCTATCTATCTATCTATCTACACAGTTAGCTAACTATCGACTTCTAAACAATGTAAATTAACTTGTCGGTTTTAATCACGTATTTCTGGACGTTTCGTCTTATCGGCCAAGGCGAGCAGTCAACAAATGCCACGTGACTAGCCTCTCAAATCTCGACAGTGGCACGGTATTTTGATTTGGGTGCCGAGGTCGATTAAGCCAGAGACGAATGATAGACAAATAAATGGAGGAAACAAAAAAGGAAAAAGAAAGAAATGTCCCCTAAATAAATTCTGATCATCTACCAAAACTGTTTGTCTGCACATCAGACAGTTTATAGATGTCAAATTACCAGAGACAAAGAAACGAACAGTTTCATATAAATACATGCACATCACTAAATCTCCCTGTAAAAGTGTGCGTATGCCTTCGTAAATATGCATATGCGAACATGTGTGTGTATGTCATATAGAAGTATATATGTGCAGCAAAATTCTCCTTTATACAAGTTGTAAGTCCAGCGAGATTATTAATTTTTATTAATTTTTTCACTAACAGCATCATGGTTATTGTACAAATTATAAGCCCTTTTGCAGGGTATAAAGAATTTTTGAAGAAAGATTATAATCTTTTATTTTTCTAAAAACATATGTTTACAGGTTTTAATTTATTCATATTACGGATCGCTTTAAGTTCAAACACTAACAATTTGCAAACAACATTACATTTTTACATTGGCTCCACATGTACCACACTCTCTCGTAGGTTAACTTGTCAAAATTTAGTGCAATTGGCAAAATTATTATCATGAGTTAAATTTTAGTAGATAACACCAAAATTTTATATATGACACAGTGCAAAGAAAGACTCTATAGGGGACCGTATATCGAAGTGTGCTTAAAAAAACCCACACACATAAATATTCCAGTTGAAGCGTTTAACTAACATTACCTCAAATAACTTGAAGTTGACTCCGTCAAACTTGGGAATGCTGGAATTAAATAAAAACAGTTGCGTAACTGCTCACAGATAATCCTTGCAAAGAAATGTAGCAACATTCGAAAGTACTCGGGGGTGACGAATAGTATAAAATAAATATGAGTTTTAGCAAATTTACCAATAACATAAAACAAATAATTAATAAATTTGAAAAAAATTAATAAAAAAATCTGACAGACAGAATTGTCTATATTATTCAGCTAAACATATTTGAAATATCTATGTATATACCAATGAGTATAAAATATGGTATACTGAGTGATGATGCTAATAAAATAGTGCCCGATGTATAATAACAAAGCTATAATTTATGTTAATCATGAGTATATTTTTTGTCCTCACCGGTTGCACAAATCCGAGTTTCATGCACAAAGCAATCAATTTTCAATGAGCACCCGACGATTGCACTGTGCATGAATTTTGCAGAGCTGTAATACCGGTGAGGAATATATATATATATATATAATAAAATATAATATAAATATATATATTATAGTATAAATATAATAAAATATAGTATACTATATTTATGGTTTAAAGTGCTCAATATCAGAGAATAGAGCGTATGTAAATATAAAACTGGACATTGATGTCAACACCCAGCGGCGACAATCTGGCTCATGTTTATACGCAATTGTCTTATTCCCATAGTAATAGTAAGTTCGTATTTTCTCAAGTCTATATAAATTTTATTGTACGGGAGTTTTAAAATTATTTTCCGTCATTCTGATGAGTTGTTTAAATATCAGACTTCAGGATGTAGAAATATTTCCCGAAATATGAATGTTTTCCTCTTCCATAAGCCATAGACAAAACAAAATTATATTTTAAAAAAAAAAAAGCGTTCACAGTTTTAAATTTATTTTATGCGTTATGTGACACGCAAGTATCAGATATCAGGCCGTCATGAGTTAATTTTTGAAACGTGTTTTATTTTTTTTTCTTCGAGAATTAAATATATTTAATATGTTTGCTCACAAATTAAATTAATTTTTATTAATACTTGTTTCTTTTTTATAGTTAAAGCTTCTCATATATTTAGTCGTTTTATATTTCTTTCATAGGATATCGTTTTCTCGCCTTTCTCTCTCTCTCCTTCACTCTCTCTCTCTCTCTCTCTCTCTATTTCTCTCTCTCTCTCTCCTTCACGCTCCATGCATATATATATATTCGTTATAGTTTCATAAACATGTGTCAGCATTTTCTTTAATTTGTAACTGGATATGTTACGAATTGAATCATTGTTCTTTCAAAAGAGATTTTAAATCAGATCTGTCATCTTACAGCAGCCTGTCATTATCCCCAATATAATGATTTAAAAATCAAGTTCATCTTGATTTTTAAAATCTCAAATACGTAGGCGTCATTCTCCATCACCTAAACTGGTTATATATATATATATATATATATATATATATATATTATATATATATATATATATATTTTGCCTAAAAGTGTTGCTCTACAAGGATTTAAGTATAAGATAATCCCATAGTTCGTGCGTCATCTAAATAAAAGAAATATTTGAAATGTAAGCCAATTGCTGATGCCTCTGACGAGTGGATAGATGGGTTCATCTACGAAACACTGAAGTCAGGATGCTGAAGGTAACATCAATCAGGTACGTGACAAACCTTCAATATATATATATATATATATATATATATATATATATATATATATATATATATATATATATAGATACACTAGTGAGCCAGACAAACCTACCTAGGTTTCACCTAAACGGATCGTCAGGAAAGTTTAGCCAAACTTTCCCTGACGATCCATTTAGGTGAAACCTAAATAGGTTTGTCTGGCTCACTAAATATCTAAATCTGCTCTACAGTTGTATTGAGCTCTTTTGTTAGTTGTTTATTCGTATCGGGGTTTTTTCTTTGGGCTTCAGACCTGCATCTGTGCGATTTTTTGTCGGCAGAAGTTCATGTTTGTAGCTCTTTCTTTTTTTAAAACCTTTTTTTCCCTCGAGATTGATTTGATTAGCAAATCAAAATTCGAGGGTTTTTCGAAACGAGTCTAGTTATCTATCTATCTATCTATATATATATATATATATATATATATATATATATATATATATATATATGCCAAAGGCACAGTGATAGCGGATCAGAGAAACAGATTCGAATTCTAGTCGAGTTCATTATTTCCACGTAAGTGTTAATAATCTTGGGAAAGGTATGAATACATCTCTCCTCTACCTCACAGCTATGTGTAACTAGCTGTGTTCTATGGCCTTGTGTAGCGAACAGTTTACGAGAAGGACAACCCTGAATTCAAAACCTGCAGAAGTTCGTTAGGGAAACTTGTTGTATATTGTGCACCAGTATTCGGCTTTTCACAAAAAGTGTGATTGGTACTGCACAAGCCTTCTCCAATAAACTATAATCAAATGATATGTGTGCGTAGTCTGGCTGTTACTTCAAAGAACTGAGCTGCTTGATCCTCATACGTTGACGAGGAGAGTCCAGTATATATATATATATATATATATATATATATATATATATATATATATAATGGGATGAACACGCACTTCGCTGGTGCTTAATATGTAAGATATAAATGAAAATCCTGAGGTGAAATTAGCTAAAATCTTATTTCTAAATACACTAAACTATATATATATATATATATATATATATATATATATATATATATATATAGAGAGAGAGAGAGAGAGAGAGAGAGAGAGAGAGTAAGAGATATGTTGTGAATATTAGACAAACCTAATTTTAAACAATGTAATGCTATGTCTACCTGCCTGTGTATTCAAGAACCTTAAGCAAATAAATGTGCCATCCAACATATATAAATTTACAATGTTTTTAAAACCAGGATGCCTACTCTAGTGTGTGTGTGTATGTTTTGTGTGTGTGTGTTTAATTAATCAAAAGTAATAAAAGCATAAATTAAAAACAAAACAATATTATATTGTATTAAAAGAGAATATATATTAGCCACTTGCTTACAAGCGCGCTTTCGTATAATACATTTGTGGCTTCAGAATCAAAGATAAAATCGGTTTTGCAAATAAATTGTGAAAGTGTATTCTCTTTTGAAATGACCTTTACATATATATATATATATATATATATATATATATATATATATATATATATATATATATATATTTGTTTGTGTTTGCGTGATGGGGGTGAAACAGAAGATGTTTGTTTTACAAAATTATTCCATTTTATGCACTCCTATTGTGTGCACATTCTATCATTTGACCAAATTTGCATGATTTAACTCTCCAAACGTATTTGCTGAGCCAGTTTTTGATCTTCAGGTGTTGACGTTCCCAGCTGTCTAAAGCCTAAATTCATGACAGGCACAACTAACTTTGGGCGATTTGACGCAGTATTGTTTTCTCGAAAACACGACCTTCAGTTAATTCTGTGGACTTATTTTGTTTTAACTCGCATTATATTTTATAGCTTCAGGTGCAATTCATTTGTTTCTGTCATTTGTGCTCAACAGGATTTTTCTTCTTTTTTTTTTTACTTCTAAATCAAATTATATCATTTTGAATTTCATTACTTTCTATTTTGTTAGTAAATCAGAGATTTAAATATAAAAAGAAAATTAATCAGTGTGTAATGTCGGTCCTAATTCATTTGCGAAATCCGTGCCCACATACAAATTGATCCAGGCAGTTAATTGCCTAAGAAAATGTGTAAATCACATATGTAGAGCAGATCGACAAAACACATGAGAGTCATGCACGCCTGCGCATACGCACAAAGGATTTACACATGAAATCAAATGAAACCAACATTGAAAGGAACAGCTTGGTCGTTACAACGATGAACGGCCAAACTGAAATTGACTAAAATTCTTATTATTAACGTTTTACAATCATATTTAAAATTAAATATTAAAAGTGAGGAATAGATAAACATGTCGAGGGATAGATAGATAGATAGATAGATAGATAGATAGAAACTGAGATTTGATAGTGTTGTAACCTAGGAAGGGTAACTGAATGAGGAATAACCAAAACGGAGGTTGGAAATGAAATGGTAATCTTTATAATATCAACAAAATACAATACTCGCCAGCGGCGTGAAGTAGGTAAACCACTGCTAATGGTGGACTACTTAGACACCATATTACCCCCACTTACAATAGTACCCATCGTATTTATGAGGACTGGGACATACCCATTACTGTTCATAGGTATGGTATATAATAGATAGATAGATAGATAGATAGATAGATAGATAGATAGATAGATAGATAGATAGGTTGGTTAATTGATCGACATATCAGTCATTTTGGGGCATACTCAGTATGATAAGTCTTAAAGGATCAAATTAAAACAAAAAGGTAATAGAAAATGCACATGCGATCTGTTTGAACTAGAGTCATAATGGTAAATATAGGTACGGTTTACAAAAAGATAGACATAGGTAAGAAGCTGTGTAAAAGACAGAAAGAAATCGAGATAGATAGATAGATAGATAGATAGATAGATAGATAGATAGATAGATAGATAGATAGAAATGAACGGACTGAAATATATATTACCGAGACTTTTTGAATTTAAGCGTAGTACTCGATTGGCGGCAAGATTCCATCCTTTTAGAATTAAGATGGTTAGATGTAACCATAAGCGCTATGATACAGTTTCTTTTATCGCATGTCGCGGTTGTGAAACTCTTCCGGCCTTTAGCTTTCCAGTCAGGTTTGACATTAAATATTTAAATTCAATATTCATCGTTATATTATGTCTTCTTAAACACTATTTGTTATTGTTCACTCTTCTTAACTATCTTCTTTCTCTAACAATCATTAAGCTATTGCGTCTTAGTGCCTCTATTGCCTTGCTCGTGAGGAAATTATTTCTAAAAAAAACATAAGGAGTCTGAGTTAGTTAGAAAGATAATAATCTTGTCAGATCAGATGAAAACATTATTTCTTGTTTTTTCTTTGTTTGTTTTCTTTCCATTTTATTAAACAGTACTTTCAGATATATTTTGTTTGTTTCTTATTTAAATATTTTTTCGGCATATTTTGTATCTTTTTTCTTGCAACTTTTGAAATATATCGTGCCTGACTCCTGACATAGTAAGAACAAACAGTATTTATTCCACTTTTTATTCCACTTCACTTTGTTTAAATTTTCTTTGCCTCGTGTGATCTCAAGGACAAGATTATCTTTCACGAAATCTAATAAAAATATTTTATTCTTCTGTGAAGGATTTTTTTTTATCATTTCACTTCTAACAGACTTGTGACAGACTATATTAAATACATCTCTTAAAAAATTGCTTGTTTCTTGAATATAAAAAAATAAAAATGGTAACATAACACCCTGCACGTCTCTACAAAGAAAAATTCCACGAAACCCGTTTCAAATGTCACAGACGAGAACATTTTTTTTTTCGTTTTCTTTTGCAGCAAATATGATAAGCCCATCAGAACGGAAGTAGTGAAAGAAACAGTTTCCTCCTGGAAGAAAAAAATGGCGGTAAAGAAGTAGTGAAAGTGAATTTCAAGGAAGAAAGAATCAGAGAGATGAACACATTGAAGAAAAAAAAATGAAGATTTTGAATGGAAAAAGAAAACGAAGCAGAAAAATTAAAAAGATAAAAGAAAAAGAAAAAAAATCTGCAAAGAATAAAAAGCAAAGGTAATCATAAACATGGCGTTTTCCGACCCTAACACAAATCCTACCTCTGTCCCATAATAGTTGTTGCATTTATGATATGAAATCTGTATGCAAACGTTATAAATATTATGGAACAGTAGTAATAAAAGATATCTTTAACAATTTGAGATAAGAAAAAATAAATAAATCAAAATGGAAAAAAGATCATATAATGATTGTACTTGTTCCTCCCTTTTTCAGTTCGCATGACTGTTACGCCCTGTCAATAACTCGTTTATAATGGACTATTCCGTTTTGATCGTGTAGAAAGATAAAATACATATCAGAGACGCTACTTGGTTTCAGTGAAAAATGGATGAAAGAATGAATGAAAGAAAAAAGAAAGAAAGAAAGAAAAACGTTTTTAAAGTCTCCTCATAAATAATGTACTATTTCGTTTGGATAGCATGAGAAGAAAATATACATCAAAGACGCTACTTGGTTTCAGTGAAAAATGAATGAAAGAAAGAAAGAAAGAAAGAAGGAAAGAAAAACGTGTTTAAGGTTTATTCATAAATAATGGACTATTTCGTTTT